TATCTATTTCTCCTAGGAACTTCTAAATTTTCTGCTTTCTTTTTTATATCCTGTTGCCATCGAGTCAGATCCAACCCACAGTGACCCTTCCTTGGGTTTCTGAGGCGGGATCACTCCAGAAGTAGATTGCCCAACCTTCCTTCCAAGGAGTGGCTGGTGGGTTTGAACCACCAGCCTTCTGGTTAGCAGTCAAATGCCTTTTTTATGGAAGTGGAAAAAAGGTGTGGGGGTGGCATCATCTGACCTCCTCTAACTTCACAAAGGGGAAGGAAGATTCAGAACAGTCCAAGGCTGATTTCATTGAGATGAAGGTCAGATATGCCACCACCAACCTTTCTACAAATTCTGACAACCATCTCCCCCACAGCACTCTACTTCTCTGCTGGGTTTGATAATTCGTTGCAGTGGCCACAAACAACTCACAGACAATACTCATGATTATGGGGTTTATTAGGGAAGTACCAGGTAGAATTCAAGATCAGAAACAACTCAGGATGCAGTTCTTCCATCAGGACTGTTTCATCTCAGCCATGCCACAGACATGCTTCACTCTATCTTTGGCCTCTGCCCTGCACAGGTCAGTGTCACAAAGCTCTTTTAACTTTGCTGAATAGGTGCCCAGAGAGGAACCCCACTCCATCCGAAAGTCTCCTGCCCAACGGTACTCAGCTTTCTTGCTCTATGAGTCGGGTCTCATGCAAGTCGCTTGGTTCTGCTCCCTCTGCTGGCTCAGTCTCTCCGCCTGCCTCCCTGTCTCTTTAACAGAGGAATCTTCTGTCCAAAGGATAAGCTCTACTCCTGGCTCTTCTGTCTCAATGGTAGTGAGATTCCTTTCTGCTTGAGGGATGGCTCATTTTAAGCCTAGTAAGATGGTGAAACTGACCAATCCTCATGGCAGGGTTCCATATACCTTATTTCCATAGTCCACCCTACAAGAGTGCCATGTACCTTATTTACATTATTAACAAGCTATCCAATCCCCTTGGTGGACCACAAAACACCTCATATTTATACAGTTCCAGGCAGTCATCTGGGGGAGTCATGAAGTCCATGGCTAGAAGAGCCACATCAAGTAATTCAATGCACTATAGAAAGTTACTATGTTATTTTAATATATAGCTATTTGGTACATAGATAGTCTTAACGTTAAAAGTTCACTGTCAAAGGTACACTTTAGCCTTATGAAGTATCCCTGTCTCAAGTAATATCTTCTGGCCTGAATTCTACATTATCTCATTTTAGATCAATACTTTCTAGCTTTACTTGTTACAGGCCTTTACATGTATACTTTTGCTTTTTCAACTTTTGAACACTGTTTTCACTGACTGTATTGATTACGGTATATAATCAGATTTTGCTTAGTGATTCAACTTGAAAATCATTTTAATAGGTTATCTAAGGCCATTTACAAATAACTGATATGACAGATACGCTTAATCATAGTTCTATTATATCTTGCTATGTTTGGTTTTGCATTTCTTCAAAAAGTCTTTCACTATGTTGTCTATTTTCTTTTTGCATGCATATTTGTAATTTTTCTGATATTTAAGATAATTTGTATTTTTGTTCCAGTGGTTTTTTATAGTTACATCTTTGTAACTATAATTTTAAATAATTTTAATCTTTACCATTTTGTTTATAAATAATAAGTAATAAGTATTTATTATTATAATGGCACACATTATTGACTCCTTACTATGAACACTACAGAAATTAGTTTGTATAATCTACTGCCCTTTTGGCACTACACAATTATAGCATAGCATTATCTTTCTCAATGTTTACCTTTGTACTGTTAATACGCTTATACTTCTAACTGATTTGTCAGCTTTAAATGATGACCTTTTGTCTACCATCTACTACAAATGAGACAATCTTCAAACTTATTCTACCCTCAACTTTCTTCCCATTCCTTACTTCTCTTAGTTGCATTATCAATTTCTATGTTATTAGAATATTTTACAGTAATGTTTTATTCTTCCTTCCTCATTTCCACTTTTGTTTTAGTCTCAGGTCTGTAGTCAAATACACTTAGTGCTCTCCTATAGTACTTGTGCCACTTTCTCTAGTCACCTCTTCAGGAGGAAGTTCATGTTCTGAAAGTTTCCTTAAGAAATTTAAGAGGGACTTAGAGTAACAGTATGCTCCAAGTTCTCATATCCTCAACATTCTGCATAGCCTCTATATTTGAAGAACATTTTACAGAAGATAAAATTAAGGTAAAGAAAAATCAAATAGTTTGTACAAACTAGCGAGAGGCAAAGTTAAGATCTGAACACAGAAGTTTAATGCCAAAGTACAAGCTCTTGTTCTTTCCAATCTAGCTTAGCTATTTAATTCTCAATCTCAGAAGTATTAACATTTAATGAAAATAATTAATGGCAATACAATGACAATGTATAGTGAAATCAAGAGAAGAGGAAATGTATTTTATAAATTGTGCTACATTAGGAAAAAGTGTGGCCTCTGGAATCAAAACTAGATTTACATATTTGCTCTGTTATTTATGAGCTATGATACTTTGCATACATTATAAACCACTCTGAACCTCAGTTTCTATATTTATAAAATGGTGATAAGAAGGAATACCTCATGAGAGGTTGTATGGTTTGAATGAAATAACATATTTTACAGACAGCTAACTAGAATGCCTAGCATACAGGTTAATAATTGTTTTAATATGTTAGCTATTTAAAAAATAATTACTACCATGATATTAATCAAGAAAACTTCATATGTAATTTCCTAAAATTATATTTAAAAAAATGCAATTTTCTAAAAAGCAAAAAAAGGAGCCTAGTTTCTTTACATGAAATGTCCTCTTCTTTCAGCTAAATTGTCCTGACTTTGTCTTTAATAATCCTGAATTTCAATTCTAGCTCCATGAAAATTTCCCTGATGGAACCAATCTACACTGATCTAAATACTATCTTAATTATTTATATTTACTTGTCACATTTTAAAGGTTTTATAATAGTTTTTATCACATTTTAACTAAAAAATTTAGAACTTTCTGTTAGTATGTAATGTTTAAATATTTTCCAACTGCCTTTTACCAACTGTTTTATGTGACATCTTGCCCCATAATTAGATAATGATGTCTTTTTTCAATCAAGTGTTACAACTCTTACCCTTTTTGGACTCAACTGTTTAGCACTGGATGAGGCACAGAGTTTTATTTGATTTTGTATGCTTAAATTTAGAGAAATACAAAGAGACTGATGAACTAGAAAGATTGGTTTTAGGTGAAACATTTAATTTTAAAATTCTTAAATTTCTGAAGGATCTTTTCTATTTAAAATATAAGGGAGAGTACTATTGGGCAAAAAAGGTTTTTTGAAATTTCTTCAGAATGATTTCTAAAATTTAAAAAAAGAGATACATGCATTTAAAAAAAACTAGACAGCATTATGGTATCTCTAAGAGCAAAGGTACATAGCAGCTATCTAATAAATGAATGCTTAGTTACTGTGTAACTAAGAGAAATTCACAAGAACATAAAATGGTTAAGATGGAATTCAAATCATTTATAAAAATCTGTTTTAGTACTCAATGTTCCACCAGAACCAATTCCACTTACTAACATGTACTGAACACAAAAGATTTATAATTGGTTTTATAAATCTCTACTATGTTATTAGTTTCAGAAAAGATTCTGCTTATACAAAACTGCTAATGTGCCGTCGAGTCGGACCCGACTCATAGCGACCCCTCCTTGGGTTTCCGAGGCAGTATCACTACGGAAGTAGATTGCCCAACCTTCCTTCCGAGGAGTGGCTGGTGGTATACAAAATTAAGCAGTACAATTCTAAACCTATTCATAAAAACTGTGGATGTGCATAACATAAATTCACAACTATAAAGACACTTCATGTTATCCAAAAGTTTTAGTCTACAAACCTTTTCCACAGCTGTAACGAAGAGGTGATGGGAAATAAGGAGCACAGAAAAATGACTGAAAAAGGTGCCTGCCTTAGCCAACTCCAAAACACTTTGGTAGCGTAGTGCCTAAGGCACTTGACTGCTACCAGAAGGCTGGCAGTTCAAACCCACGAGCCACTCTTCGGAAGGAAGGTTGGACAATCTACTTCCGTAGTGGTAACGCCTCGGAAACCCAAAGAGGGGTCGCTATGAGTCGGGCCCGACTCGACAGCAAATAACAACAACAAAAAATCACTCGGTATACACAGAAAACGTAGAATATTATGATACAAGGACCAGTCTCTAATTATCAATTAAATACAGTTACAGTTGCTGACAAAGACAACCAAATTTGTTTTGTGTAGTCAGAAAAGGCATATTTTTAGAGGAAGGAGTTGTCAAAAACCATTGCATTAGTACAGCTTCAGAAAGTCCTGTGGAAAATGAGTTCCTTGCACTCACAAGCTTAGGCAATTTGATTTATCTTACAACCGCTTAGTAATCTAACATGCTAACGTAACAACTTATTAGCAAAAATCACTTTGATATTTCCTTCGAAATACAGACTGCGACCGGTGACTATTGTCCTTAAAAGAATCCAATCCTGGTTAAATGACAGTAGCCTTCAGTTCAAACCTCTGAACTTTTAAAATAGGCAAGAGTTCAAATATAAAAAATCATAATCTAAAGTCAACCAAAGTAACAGGTTTCCTTCCTACGCCCCTGATAACCACACCTCTTTGTGCACTAGAGTTCGAAGGTCGCCTAACCTCAGATGCCAGTAACCTGCCAGGATGGGGCTCCTCTCTGCAGGACATCCCGTCGTAAGACCCGAGGAGTTCCTGGACCACGGTGGAAACGTCGGCGTAGGTGGACAGGCGCGATCACGGAAGCAGTCCCGACGCCAGGCGTTCTCGGGCCGAGCCCCAAACGAAGACCAGAGGCGCACCGCCACAGAGACCGGGCCTCGGCCCGACAGGGGCCAATAGGGGCCGAGGCCAGGATCCGAGTTCGGCCTCGGCTTTACCTCTAAGGCACCAGAAACAGCGAACAGTGTAAGAGAGAAGAGGCAGACTCACCTAGTGGGGACCCTCGGCGACCGGTTACTGCGTTAGCACGGCACCAGTCAAGTCGCCCAGCATTCGGCGCTGCTCCTCCTCCCCGGCCCGGGGCCACCTCCACGTTCCGCTCCAACGTGGCAGCCGCAGCCCCACCCAGCTGGCCAGCCTACGCTTCCGGGAGCGACGCCCCGCCCCGCCCGCTCCCACGCGCGCCCATCCGCTGCACTTCCGGGAGTGGCACGGCCGGGACAGGGGGTGGTGCGAGCAGAGCTGCTGTTCCAGGGTTGACAACAACGCCTTGCGAGCGCTTGGGATTAGAGCCTGTCATTGAAGGGCGACGTGTAGGGCCCTGATGCGTTGCCCATAACTACGGGAAATGGGAAGGTTTTGCTAAGTGTTGCGGTCAAAAGGGCCGCAATCCACAGGATCGCCACGTATCCCTCACTAGTCCTGTGAGGAGTCAGCAGCGCCAATACAGCCTATACCAGACAAAAACACATGAAAATCGGGTTGCAAGGCCCTTATTACAATTAATTTGTGACTAGTTCTTAAAAGTTACTTACTTGGTTCTACCATATTGCGCTTTGAGAGGGCTTGTTTATAACTAAACCATCTGGTCATACATAAAGGTTGTGGTGATTATTTTTCCCCAGAATTGTTCAAATACAGGCATAGCTGGACGCTATTGCGGGTTCAATCTCCGACCACTGAAAGTATCTCAACAAAGTCATTTTTTTTGTTTGTTTGTTTCCCAGTGTATATTGGATGGCTATGAATCTGAATCCAGTTGATGGCAATGGGTGGGTAGTCTATTTTAAAATAAAGTGTGAAATACTGAGAATTACCAAAATGTGACACAAACACGAAGTGAGCATGCTTGCAAAATGGCTGATAGACTTACTTGCAACAGGGTTGCCATAAATCTTCAATTGGTTAAAAACGCAGGATCCAGAAGTGCAATAAATATGTTGGTTTATTTTTTAAAAAATTGCCATCCAGGCCCATGGAGACCCCATGTGTTGCACGCATGTGTTGGAGTAGAAAAGCCCGCCCTAGGGCTTTTATGGCTGTGACCTTTCAGAAGCAGAGATCATAGGGCCTCTGTTCTGAGCCTCTAGTGTGGGTTCAAACTGCCATCCAGCCTCTGGGTTAGTAGCTCAGCTCTTAACCATTTGTACCACCCAGACTCCAAATACTAAGGGAACTGAAATGGCAGTTGACTTGTTACTCTAGAGGCATCGGTGGGGTGAGGGACATTCCAATCCTTTGGTACTTGTATTAGCACTCACCTTCTGCCACCAGTACCCTACTAGTTTAACCAGTCTAGCATGCAGTTAGATGCTATTACCTAGATTTTGCTTTTCTGACCTAGTTTAAGACTTCACCCAAGAAAAGCCAGAAGAAAATTACTAACAAAATTACTACAGAACTAGAGTCAATGCAGGTCTAACTGCTAGACCCATGTTGAGTCTAGTTCTACTGTCCAAAGGAGAACCAAACTCACTGCCAATGAGTTGAATCCGACTCATAGTGACCGCTCCTTGGGTTTCCCAGGCAGTATCACTACTGTAGTGAGTCATCATTCCTATCATTCATTCAACTGCCTGTTTCTAAAGCCATTACTGAAAGTTGTTTTTCTTGTAAGAAGCAAAAAAAAGTACTGAGCAGGAATATTTTTTATTCTCACTATTCTCTTCCCAACACCCTACGTTGTTTTTTAAGTGTTTCTGAAGAACTGAAAGATTGGCTCAAGCAGCCTAGTGGTTAATTTCTAATTTGTTCTAAAAAGCTTTCCATTTCTATTTATGGCTGCAGGCGTAGTTTATCTAAATTGCCAATATAAACCCAAGATGAAACTGGCAGCATTATTTTAGCCAAGAGAAAGTATTGGAACTCTCCATTTTCTACTGCCCCATTCTCAAAAGAGGGGCTATTGGAAAAATGTGCGGTGGCATGAATAAAGGTTCATTAAAACACCCTTTCCCAAAAATCAATGGTATAAGCAGTGGTTACATTCTTGGACTTTTTTTTTTTTTTCCCAGTTTTAGTCAACTACAGTTCAACTTTGCTAATTAACCTTGATGTCCCCCCTATAGTCCTGAACTCCCATGCCCACAACTCATTCTCTCAAGGTGTTTGGTTATGGCTGTTTTCTTAACTTTGCCCCCTCTGATCCATGGATATATTTATAGCACACACTAACAGACTAATAGGTTTGTAAAACTTCCAAAAACCATGATCATGGGTGTAGTCCCATTCACCTACCCATACCTGTTTATTGTGCCTGTCAGCCTACGTATCCACTCATAGGCTGTATAATGCAGGATTGTGCATATATTTACCTTTGTTGTCTGAATCTCCTGTACACCTCTCTCCATGCCTTCCCTTTCCTTAATGATAGTGTGCTGACTAACCCTTTTTATATACTGCCTTCCTACTCAAGGGTCAGCAAACAATAAATCTCTTCAAATTTGTAGGCCCTATCAGCTAAGAAATAATCCGAGAAGCTGGACTATATGAAGAAAAACGTGGTATCAGGATTGGAGGAAGAATCATTAACAACCTGAGATATGTAGACGATACAACTTTGCTTGCTGAAAGTGAGGATGACTTAAGGCACCTACTGATGAAGGTTGAAGAATACAGTCTGCAGTATGGATTATATCTCAACATAAAGAAAACAAAAATCCTCACAACTGGACCAATGAGCAGCATCACAATCAATGGAGAGAAGATTGAGGTTGTCAAGGAATTCACGTTGCTTGGTTCTACAATCGATGCCAACGGAAGCAGCAGTCAGGACATTAGACGACGTGTAGCATTGGGGAAGTCAACTGCGAAGAACTGTTTCAAGTGCTGAGGAGCAAGGATATCTCCTTGAGGACTAAGGTGCGCCTGACACAAGCCATGGTATTTCCAATCGCCTCGTATGTAGGTGAGAGCTGAACAATGAATAGGGAAGACCGAAGAAGAGTTGATGCTTTTGAGTTGTGGCGCTGGCGAAGAATGCTGAAAGTACCGTGGACTGCTAAAAGAACAGATCTGTCCTGGAGGAAGTGCAGCCAGAATGGTCCTTGGAAGCAAGAATGGCCAGACTTCGTCTCACCTATTTTGGTCATGTTGTAAGAAGGGACCATTCCCTGGAGAAGGATGTCATGCTTGGTAGGGTGAAGGGTCAACGAAAGAGGGGGAGGCCTTTAGGGAGATGGATTGATACAGTGGCTGCGATGATGGGCTCGAGTATAGCAGGGATTGTGGGGCTGGCGCGGAATCGGGCAGTGTTTCGTTCTGCTGTGCATGGGGTCGCTATGAGTCAGAAACGACTCGACGGCACTTAACAACAACAATCAGCTAAGAATGTGTTTAGGCCTGTTTTTGTGCTACAATGACAAAACTGAGTAGTTTTGACAGATCGTCTGGCCAGTAAAGCCTACAATTAGTATGTGGCCCTTTACAGAAAAGTTTATAAACTCATACTCTTTATTAAAATTTTGCACTAATACTCAAAGTCTAGATACGAGACATTCAGTATAACAAAATTTTATTTCAAAGCTTTGAGATAACAGCATACAAAGGCAATACGAATGAAAAGTAGACGTCAATATAACTGATTGTTACAAGGATAAAATGTAATAGCTGTTTCTAGACTTGATGTACACATTTGGTTAAACATGAAGACATTAGCTTATTACAACTGCATAGTCCTTGACCATGCAAGCTGAAACTGCAATCTTAACAATCCATTTAATAAAGAACTTATTACGGGCCAGGCACTGTGCTAAACTTTTTAAATTCTGTAATAAAAATAATCTTTTTCAAATTTAAAAAGTACATAGGTTTTAAGTCATAAAAATATGGGTAAAGAATGAAAAAAATCACAATCCTATTAAAAAAATCTATTGATTGTCCCATGACCTTTAAACTTTGTCAAAAATTTTTCACTGTTGGTTATAAAAAAAGCTAAAACTAATATAATTTAAAACAAACACCGAGAAAAGCATTCTCTTTATTAAAAATTTATCAATAGCTTAAACATTATTGGCTGCCTTCTTGCCACGTAACTTACAATAAGGAACAAGCTTATGCCTTGGCAAGTTATACTCGTGAGTTTGGATTACCTTTGTAAATGTTATCCCTTTGTACTCTCAATGTTACGGACCAGCTCTGAGAGCTTGAATGTTATTTTTTTGCTAGCATCACTTCCTGAGACATCTTCATTTGTCACAACCCCTTTTCCTCATCTATATCAAATTTGCCTTCACTAAATTCCTCTAGCTGCGTAACAAAAGTGTCTTCAACAATGACAATGTCACATTCCCGTGGTAATGTGTATCTTCTTCAAGTCCATTTAGATTCCATTTGGAGTCTGCGAAGTTTAGGACACACTGTCATCCTGCACCATCTGGCAAAGCAAGTACTGCCTATAATCCTTGTAATCCACAAATTTTGCAGCACTATCCTTATCTGGGCTAGCAGCTTCATTAGTCAATTCATGCCAACTTCTAAAATGAAGAAACTTTATTGACAGTAACTTAATTTTCAGTCTCCTTGAAATCACTGGTCTCTTTCAGTACAGTAACTAATTTCAACACTTGGGCCTGAAATGCTAGCTAAATGATTGGGGCATTTTTTATTACATCTTCAATCCACAGTGTGAAAGTAAATGGTCCATTTCAACCGTGTGTGGCTTTATTTATTTAATCTAAGAGATGAAACAACTTTCCCTTGTTTTTCATATTCAGACTTTTTCAATATTGCTTTGTATTATAGCTTCATGAAGGCCTACATCTTGTCCTGTCTTCGTTTTCACCATTCCTCCAATCATATCCAATTTCACTTCCAATGTTATCACTTTTCTTTTTTTTGCTGCTTTTATTTATTTTGACAAATTTCTTTATTTGGTTATTCATTTTTATAAAATGGCATATGGGCCTATCACTGGAAGATAAGGAGGCAATAAAACTACACACTACGATGTTTGTACCTGAACTTAGTAAAAGATGCTCAGTAGAACAATTGCCAATAGACTGATAAAAGTGACATGACTGGTCATGGATTATGATGTACAACTGTTATTTGTATAATGATTTGTGAGCAATGAACTAGCAGAAAAGT